TCTCAAGGCTGATGAAACCGTTGAATAAAATTATATTTTAATATAGAAACACCCTTTTTTAATTATATTAATTATGATGTATTTAACTGCATGCCAATCAGGGATCTAATATCAAGATTTACATCTATCTAGAAGCTCAAAAGCCAAGGTATGAATGAAGATGATTAATTAATTTTGCAAATATCGAATGATCAATATTAAACAAACTCTCTAATCAATTGCAAACCATACGACGATGAGGGTTTATGAATATTTTATACAAACTATCACCAACATTTGCTTTAAATAAACATGTTATAAAACAAGAGATTTTCATTTTTTTTAAAGGAAATCATAAATCTCTCAATCAAGATTTTGAAGTGTGTTCGACATTAATAGTGACTTGTGTGCCAACTGAATAATTATTAAAACATTGATGAACTTTAAATCTTGTTTATTTAGATGATCTGTGATATATATATATATATATATATATATATATATATATATACACTCGTCAACCTTGTCTTCCTTCGATTATTATTATTAATTATTATTATGATTATTTTTTAATAGATAACATATTAGGTTTCTCCCATTCATCTGATAAAAGGAAAACAAAAATCATCATTGTCAAAACAAACAGATTTCGCTGAAAAAAATGCACAAGATAATAATTTCAGAAACACTTCATTTACATTGTACTTGAGACTAAAATCATTGAACCAATATTATCTTTTCTTCAGAATGATTTTCCACATTCAGACAGAATTGTGTGTAAGAATGCATTAATGGATTTTTTGCTTTACTGAAACTTCGATACAAAATACACAAGAGGTGATGCAGAGTTGATGTCATCAGAGCATAATTTCATTGAATAAGAATCAAATTGTGATGCAAAATATATAAGAGACAATGCATAGCTTATGTCATAAGAGCATAATTACTTTGTGTAAGAACCAAAACATTTGGAGTAATATGGAATAGCAAAGATAGAAAACGACAGACATTTTTTTTAAATAAAGAAAACAACGAACATAGAGAAAGAGAAGATAAGGATTAGGTGAGGGAAGAAGGTACCTGTGAATGGAAATGAGAGGTTGGCGGACTGAGCGACTTCGACACGGAGACAAGGGAGCGATCGACTTCTCCTGGGTGACTTCTTTGTTCGAATCAGACAAAACAAGGGGGCACAACTTGTTCGTCTTATCCCGAACGTGCAAGGGCTAAAGCAGTTCAGATAGGGAGAGAGAGAAACTTCTCATACAAGAGGAAAAGGGGTGGCGGCTAGGGTAAGGATGGACTGCTTGTCGAGGGAGGAGAGGCGTTGGGCAAAGTCTCTTCTGCACTGGTTTCTTTGAACCAGAGAGCGACGAGAGAGAGCGGTCTTCTTCTTGAGCTGTGCAAATATGGAGAATCGAGTGGTATTTGGCCTTTTGCTTAGGGGGGGGGGACAGAACGAGGGCTTTTGCGACCTCCTGAGGCGAGTGGATGAGAAGAGCGGTTCGCTCGATACTGCTATAGTCGCTGTATCCCGTTCCAAACCAAGGAGGTGCCGACAACTAAGAGTAAGAATACTGCTTAAGAAATAAAATTAAACACATTTTTAAAATAATTAAGTTGATTTGGGTTAAACTTGGGTTCTAATCGAGTCCAATTTGATCCAATTTCGAGTCGATTTAAATTTAGTTTTATTCGGCCACATTAATTTAACAAAATTAAATTCAAATAGACGTTGATTTGACTCAAATTGGGCCTAACGTGGGTCTCGAGTGTCAATCGAGCTTAATAAAACTTCATCGGGTTCAATTTGACTTGACTCGAGTCGCCTCAAACTTAAGTTGGGCTTGACGATATTCAATTAATCCGATCGAACACACTCGACAGGAAAAAACGAGGTCAACACCTTCCTCCGATGGGAGAAAAAATATGATTTGTTACATAGTAATAACATATTTGAGTTATAAAATGGAATATGTATTCTTCAAAATTGATATGAAAAGCAATCAGTAGCCGAAAAATTTAAGAAAACTTTGCCTAAAATTGGAATATGCGCTCGTAAGTAAGCCATATAACTGCAACATGTAGAAACAAAGTCACATTCCTCTCCATACTCAAGAGCAATTGATAGTAGTATAAGAAAAAAATGGCGGAAAAATAAAATGTGTCGAAATATGACAGCATGGAGATTTCATGAATGATGAAATTTTTTTTAAGGCAGAATAGCATGAGGGTGCAAAATTCAAAAGGGAATTTTGAAAATTTTAGCTTCCTGAATACAAATTGTAGATGTCTTGGAAGCCTTAGGTCGGCAAAAGGAATAGTTGAGAAATCATGTACTCTTGATTGAGCAAAACTACAAGCAACGAGAGGAGAAAATTTCAACTGGTAAGAGTTGCTGTGAGAAGCTCGGCGATTTGGCATCTTGTAAACAACAGTATCTGAATCTACTCTGCAAGTGGATAGCAATGGAAGAGGGGAAGGGTATAACACCTTTTTCTTGTTGCAGAACAGCAGAACACAACATACTGCGAGAGACACATTTTGGTCGCCAAAAGCAGACTGCGAGGTGCAAATTTTTACTCCTCCGTTGCAACACACTGTCCCAAACAACCTCAAGTCGCATCTTAAATTATGCCGCAACAGAGCCGTCATCCCAAACGGGGCCTAATAGTCAACCATCAACCCTTATCAATAATGACAATAAATTTTTTTTTTACAAAATCAGGGATTCTGTAAAATTAGCATGCAAGGGTTAAAATATTGCAGCATTTTTTGAGGGGTGTTGGATAGAAATTGCATTGTGAACCTAATTAATGTGTTTTTTACCAACACTTAAATAAGAGTGTTCGTACTTGATAAACCTGTTATGGGAGTGCGAAGGTGCGAAACGTAGTTTGGGATTATTGCATTGTTATTGTAATGATGCTTGAAAAAAAGTTAAGTTAATACCTATAGGATCTTGTTCTTGAAGGGCAAAGCTGCAAAACATAAACATGGATTACTTCCTTTGTTTATTCTATTGCAAAGAACAGAAATCCTTAGGGATGCTGAAACTTGAAATAAAAAAAGATTTAAGGCAAAAATGAATGGAAAAAACAGCAAGTGTTTCTTGAAAATTTTGTACTAGAGGTATATATCACGAGCTTAAGAGCTGTGAACCATATATGTGTGGGCAATATGTATGTATATATATGTATGGTTGTTAGATGTGTGGGCAATATAGATTCATTGGACTGTGGATATTTTGGTTTTAGTGGAAGTACAAAATTGGAAAGAGATGAACTTTGTTATATCTTGATTGGTGATGAATGGTAGTTTAATAACGTGTTAACTATGAACTTATCTTTGAGAAATCGAGGAATGTTTTATCAAGATGATATAGCGGCATGCATGATGGGAAATAGAGTCTCTGCTATAAAGAAAACTTAGTTTTAAAGGCTAGTAAGATAGAAAAGTACACTGGAACTTGATTAGTTTTGAAAAAAAGGTCAATAGAATTAGCTTGGTAACCTTCATAATTATTGTAAGGAATGATTAACTTTATAAGACTGATCGGTTCCTGTTGAATAAGGCTTTGGTTATTGTTGCTATTGTTGCTACTACTAATCATGTTGGGTTGCTTTGGTAAATTTTATTTGGGCACAATGTACTTAAACTTAGGGAAATGCTTCATGTTTTAATTGTGGTGGTTATGCTTATTATTATATCATATTATGACAACTTGATATATATGCAACACTTCAATATTTTATGAGTTATTTTATGGTTGTTTTTGATATTCCATTACTTGAAATGCAATTAGACACTCAAAATATCCTTAAGAAAGAGAGTTTTAGGAATAACATTTTTAAAGGTATGCGAAGAGAGTTTAGAGATTAACATTTTAAATGGTATACGGGCAACATCGGCTGAGAATTCAGTGAAGAATTGCTTATTACTGTATAGATGTGTTATGGAAATTGATTGCTGCTTTTGGTCTCAATTAGTAATGAAACTTACAGAGCAGCTTGTCCGTTTGTGAGACCAAGAATGAATTAACTTTCTATATATCACTTAACACAACAACATAAATATAAAGTTGGGGGACCTAAACCTGATATTGGTCAGGTGAATTGAAAAGCTCTGAAAAAAAATTAACTTGGAAACTTTCCGTTTCAACTAATTGGTGAAGGTTGATTTGCGAAACTTCTCTGATAGATGGTGGCTGCTTTTCTTTGGTAGCTGTTGCTTAGGATGAATAAATGATTAGCCTGTTATTTTTTAAAACGTAACTATAGTCATGGGATTCTTATAAAAAGTGTTATGGACTTCTGAATTTGTGTAGTATAGGTTGGCCTTTTCACGGTTGCGGTTATATGCTTATAGTACTAGTATAATGGTTTTGTAATTTGTGGGATAATCTCACTAGTTTTTCCTGCACTAATTTAGTTTTTGAATATTCTAAAACTTGAAATTTAAATTGTCCAACTTTTGTTGGAGAAGATTTCTTTGCCATTTCTTACGGGTGATTGAACTCATCACTAAAATCTTCGCTCAATAGTATGATATGATTTTTTCCTACCACTTGTTTTAGTTATTTATCCAAGAGTGTGTAGAGCTAAACCATGATGGATGTTGCAGGCCATTTAAAGGATCCATCAAAGCCTTGACTAGGAGACTAGGAGTGTGATAGCTTGACAATCTCTGCCAATGTTGGTTTTTCCAATTTTGGTTATATGCATGTGAATTATTTTTTGATGTTTTGGATACTGTTTTTAGAATTGCTTCTTGATTTTAATCTTGGTCGTTATGTTGGAGAAATTCAAGGGGGTAATTATGCAATTACAAAATCCCATAGGGTCTAGGTTAGATTTCTTAAAATTGCAAATTGTGTTATTATGCTATTTTTATATGAGCTCTGAATCGTATTTTTTATGTACAAGGATTAGGCGTGTTATTAATACTATTTTGGTTAGTTTGTTTTATCATTTGGTTCTTTTAGTTATACTGATTGGAACATTTTAATTACTATTTTTTAGGTGCAAATCTTGTGGCCAACAAGATTTACAATGCCCGGGTCACTATGGTCATATTGAGCTTGCAAGATCAATTTACAATCCATTGATGTTTAGGAATCTTAAAAATCTTCTTCAAATTGCTTGTTTATATTGCCATAACTTTAGGATGGGAGAAAAAAAGGTAACTTCTTGTACCGATTAGACCTGCTTTTTCAACTTTTTTTTTTGTATTTTCCTGTTACTTCTAACATCATCGTTGTGACTATATTTCATTATTATTATTTGCAATGATATTCTATTACATTACTACTAATTTCTGAGTTGCAAGTGGAGAACAAAGAAAGCTAATATATTAAATGTATTGTATTAGCACTAGTTATCCTGATGTAGGACTAGCATGTGAAGTGATGTGAAACATAAAAGGAATTGTAGGAATTTAATAAAAATTTTGTTAAGCTTGCTAATTTTAAAATTAATGTTTCACAAGATTAGATTTTAGGATTTCTTAGTTGTTGTTGTGCTTTGGCAATTTAAAATAACAACAAAATTATAGTAAAGCTAGATGCATAAATTGTTGAATCTTAATTAGGTTGTTAAACCTAATTTAATGTCCTAAGGCTAACCAGGAGGGGGGGGGGGTGAATTGGTATTTTAAAACATTAACCTTCTTGGATTTTAAAAGTGAAACCAGTTAATTATTTGTAGCAAGTTTTAAAAGTAAATTTTTAACCACGAAAAAAATTACTTGCAGCAAGTAAATATGGAGCGGAAATAAAAATGACACAAAGGTTTATAGTAGTTCGGTCAAACACGACCTACATCCACTCCCTGAAGCCTCCCACTTCAGGTATTGCACTATTACCAAATTGACTCTCCTTTTGCTCTCATAGCAAGGCGGAGAAGCCTTTGCAAAAATCTCTTCCACCAATCCCCGGTGTGGCAGAGAACAATCATCTTTTCACACCCTTTAAGTGTAGGCAGAGGACCTTCGTCCTTTCACACCCTGCAATTGTAGGCAGAGAACATTCGTCTTTTCACACTCTCCGAGTGTAGATAGAAAACCTTCGGCTGTTCACACTCTCCAAGTGTAGGCAGATAACACTCTCTCATTCAATTGCCCTTTACAAATCACGAAGACCAGATGACAAAAAGATTAAGTGTCAGTTTTTAGTGGACCTTTTATACAAAAGACACAAAAAATCGCCAATAAAACTGAAGTTTTCAATTTTGAACGTACACGATCATACCGTACGATCGTATATTTGTACGCACGAACAGTTCAAATACTGTCGCGTACGAACTCATTGTTAATTAGTACGAAATCAATTCGTACACGATCATCGTCCCGTACGAAATAAATTCGTCTGGTATGAATAGAAAATTTTCAAACTTCGTTTGTACGAAACATCAGGATGAAATGAAAGAGAACAGAAACAGAGGTGTTCGTCTTGGGACGAAATTAAATATCGTATGTACGATCTTTTTTCGAAGACATATTAGAGGCGTTCGTCTTGGGACAAAATTAAATATCGTCCGTACGATCTTCTTCCGAGGACAGAACAGATGCGTTCATCCTGGGACGAAATTAAATATCATACGTACGATCCTCTTATGTGAACAAAACAGAGGACATCGTCTCTGTATGAAATTAATTATCGTCCGTACGTCCCGACACGATAAAAAATATCGTACGTACGTCTTCGTATTAGGACAAAACAGAGTCGTTCGTCCCAGTACGATAAAAAAATATCGTACGTACGAACTATACTTAGAAAATTTTTTGCCATTTATGTTCGTTCCATTGCTTGTTGGGAAAAATAACTGACCAGATCATCCGGTACGAAAGAGTATCGTACAATATGATTAGTTTAAAAATATGAATTTTAAAACTCTCCCCCGGTGTGTGTGTGGTCAGTTACTCAATTAGAATCACACTCTCTCAGACTCAATAAAATGAAAAATACAGACTTCAATTACAATAAAATTTAAACTGATCTTGATTTGAAGTCTTTAGTAATCGGAGTATGATTTTCCTGAAATGTTAGTACACACATGAGCAAAAACAATTTTTCCAAAATATGTTAGGAGAAATAATAATCAAATTAATAATTTTTGGAATCATTAAAAACATTCAGGTTGCAAGAATATCAAACATGCATAGCAACTATCTCAACATAAATAACTGAAATCCACTGGTTAACAAATAGAAAGTTCACCTTGAGTTCCGCTCACTCTCACTCTTGAGGGTTGTTTTAACGGAAGAATAATTTCAGCAAACTTAAAGATGCCACCAAAATACACAAGACACCTACAATATTGCCCAATGAAAGCCTTGATGGAGGGGAAGGAGTCGGTGGATGTTGAAAAACTCGCCACTGTCCTAAAATTTGGTGCGCGTTGATGGCAGTCGTCAAAGTGAAGAGAATCCGGTCGACGCAGCCGTCGATGGTGTGGTCGATCTCCAAGTCAAGGTCAAAGAAGGGTGATCTCAACACATCTACTCGTCCTTGATGATTGTATACGAATCCATGGCCTTTTTTAGGATCATCCATTTATGGGGGAATAGGCCGGGGTTGTGTATCTTCTTCCTTGGATGGTGTATGAAGTAAAGGAGACGAGAATGAGAGGAGGAGGGAGAGGTTGGGGTGGTCGGCCAAGGCTAGGAGAAGAGGCCACTTTAATTTCAGGTTTTAGGTTTAGGTGGGTAGAGGGGAAATAAATTAAAATATGAAGTTTAATTTCAGATTTTATAATTTGAAGGGAGGGAATAGTTTTGAAATTCAAATATCCTCTAATATGAGAATAATTAGGGCGACACACCTTGAAGGGAGGGTGTTGATTGAGAGTATTAATGGAGAAAATTAATTAAGAGTGGGAGGGCATTGATTGAGGGGTAAGGGTCTGGCCAAAGGAGAGAGAGGAAGGGTGTCTACATGCAATGAATGTGGGATTTGGAATTAAATCCTAATTAATTTCAGATTAGGAGTGATTTTGGGGGTTCTTAAAATAGATTTATTAATTAGGAAATGTTTTGAATTTCAAATCTCATTTTAATTCAAATTAAGAGAATTTCCAACTTAATAATAGGATAAATTAGGAAGGTGTTTAAGAGGCAATTTGAATTTGAAATTGAAATCAAGGGCTTGTGGAGGAGGAGGGGCCGACGGCTCGGGCTTGGTAGGCCGACTGCTTGAGGTGGAGAGGGGTGGGAAGTCGGCGGTTTGAGAAGGAGAGGGAGGCCAGCAGTTTTGGAGGAAGGTGGGGAGGAGATCGGCTGTTTGGGGCTTGGGGAAGGTTTGGCGTTGGGGAAGGGTTTGGACGGGGGGGGGGGGGGGGGGGGGAAGGGGAAATGTTAGGCCGGGAGTTGGGGGAGGATGTGTGATGCCGGTGGTATGGGGTTGAAGGAAAGGAAGAGGGGAATAAAAACCTTGAGCCCGGACTCTACCGACGGCTGACAGAATTGCTTGGTCGTCTCTTAGGGTTCTCTCCTCTCTAAAGGACTCACAACAAAGAGAAATAACAAGTGCTGAAATAACAATCATCATCCCTAATACAAAAGCTAGGGCCTTCATATATAGGCCTCAAGGAACAAAATACACAACGGCGAAATTGCATTCTGGGCTACAACATGAACTAATCACTCTCAGGGGTACAATGGTAAACTAGAACATAAATAAAAAATAAAACATTATTGCATCACAAATAAGACTACTAATCGTAGCCGTCGATTTACGATGTCTCCTCTGATAGACGTGCCAGATTCGCCTGCTTATGTCCTCATCATGAAGACTTGCATTATGAAATTAAACATAAGTTAAATTTAAAATCAGCTTTCTATAAACTATATGGATGCTTAAACAAGCTTCAAACAAGTAAGAAATACAATCCACAAATAGCAATTAACCACAACCAAAGTTCTAGAATTCAAGAAGGACAAATAAAATCAACAACTTAGCTAACATGGGTTGGTAAAAAAAAAAAATTCAACGTTTAACATGGATCAGTCACTACGAGAACCATGCACTCAATGATTTAAGAAGTTAGAGAATTTAAATAAACTTGAAAGTATTGATGCCACATAGAATTGGACTTCAAAGCTATCTACTTAAATGTATGAAGTAAGAGTAGAAAGACTTAGGTGTTTGCATCGTAGGGAAGCTTCCTTCAGATGGGGTGTGGTCTCGGCCGGTTGATCTTCAAATGGTCGCTCCGTAGTTGCTTCATTGTGTCTTGCTTCACAGTGGAGAAGAAGAGATGCTGGCCGAATTTGGAAGGAGGGAAGCCACTGTTTTTGCTATTTGGGGGAGATTAGAAATGGTATGTTGTTAATCATAGTGGTGGGGCTTAGGGGAATGGGAGAGGGTGGGATTGGAAAATGAAAAATTTGTTTTGGGAAAGGGTAAAGATAAAGTTAACTTTGCAATTAATGGATTAACTTGAAGAGTTCTAAGAGTGGGCCAACCATGGGGAAGGGAAAGGGAAGGGGCAGCTTTTCCAATTCCCAACTAGTTTTGAGAATGAAAATAAGGAGATGCAATTAATGGGTCAACTTCTCATTAATTAATATGAAGAGTTCCAAGAGTGGGCCAACCATGAGGAAAGGGAAGGGGTTGTGCCTTTTCCAATTCCCAAATAATTTTGAGAATGAAAAATAAGGAGAGGCAATTAATGGGTGAACTAACCATTAATTAATATTAAGAGTTCCAAGGGACAAGTGGGGTCCAATTGGAATCCCAAAGATCAAAATTTCAAATTGGGAAATTTTGGATTGGGAACTTGGATGGGGAGGTGGTGGGCTTGCCGTGGGCGGTGGAAGGGGAAGGGGGTTGACCGACGGTTAGGGAGGAAGAAGAAGATGGGAAAGGGGAAGAGATACAAGGGGGAAAACCTAGAGTTCACTTTAATGGGCTGTTAGTTACTTCATTTGCCTTCTCCTAGGGCTTCACCAGTCTACCACATTCACTCTTACACAAGAGAAGAAAGCAAAAATCAGAATTCATTCAAAATTAATCATCATCATCTTACAAGGGGGGAATATAGCCATATATATAGACACCACCACTTGACTAGACAAAAGACACAAATGCCCTTGGTCTTAGAACATAACATTAAGGAAAAGTTCACAAACTAAATTAAATCACATACAACACACATAACAACTCAATCATGGCAATTGATCTACCACCCCTTCTATGATAAACTTTCCATGTATTGATGTGCCATCATATCTATGCTTAGGATATTTAATCAAAGTATTCCTTTTTATCAGGTGCTGATGTCCCACTTATATACAACGTGATCTCAGTTAGATTATTGCAGTCATTTTCATGTCTTATAATAGTAAATCAAAGGAATTTCTTTTTATGACATGTATATGTCTAGAGCCACGTTTTGAAAACCGGACCGGCCGGTCTGACCCGTTCAACCGTGAACTGGTCTGAAGACTGGTCCAGTTCACCCTTAAAAACCGGGGTGCATCAAACCGGCCAGAATCCGGTTTGAACAACCGGCTTTCAACTGGGAACCGCGTCCCGATTTTTTAAATCGGCGTGTCCCATTTTTTTTAAATAATTAAATAAATATATTAAATAAATAAATTGATAAACTTAATCATTTAATATAATTAATAATAAAACTCTTAAATAAATTATTACATAAATGATTTTATAATTACTTGCACATTCACACATGGCTTTACAGGCCCCATATTGAGCTCTATCATGTGCCAAAAAGCAAAAAAGTATATAAACTAATGCAAAACAAAACAACAACAAGTGATGTGGGACTAAAGCATTACAAGCAAAAAGCTCTCTTTGTGTTCATGTATAACACTATGCCAAAGCCAAAACATCTTTTCTGTAATGGTATTTTATAATTTATTTTTATTAATATTATAAATTTATTTTTAGTGATAATATTTATTTTTTATTTTTTATCCATTTATGTTTTTATTATTTGATTATTTATTATTTTATAAACTATGGAATAAATATTTTTTATTTTATTTTTTTGGAAATTTTACTTTTTTAGTTAATATTTTTTGATTTTTTTCTATTTAAAATTTATATTTAATTATATATTATAAACAATTAATTTTTATTGTGAGTTTTTTATATAATTTATATTTATAGTTTATATCTAAATATGTAATATAAATTAACAATAATTTATATTAAAGTCTATGGTTATTATATTTCATTATTATGTTAATTTTATTATTTTTTATAATAATATTATTATTTATTACGTCATCCGGTTCGACCCCGAACCGTGAACTTTTCCTTCGTCCGGTTCGTTGTCTTGTCCGATTTTCACAACCTTGGTCCAGAGTTTTAAATACATGGTCTAAATTACAGAATATAAAAATATTTATCCTCAAATGTTTATTTTAATAATTTAGTTTGTTCTAATAGGTACAATAACATAAAAAACAAATAGAAAATGTAGTGTGGGAAAGTAGTTGAGCTTGATATATTTCAATAGAGGTGCAGAAATACCGAAATAGTGAAATACTTAAGAGATGAAGGAATTGCTTGGTTCATTGAACTTTTTAATATCATTTTGAAGACAAAATATGCCAGATGAGTGGAGGAGCGTATTGGTTCCTATTTTTAAGATTAAAGATGATGAACAAGAGTGTAAAAATAGAGGAATTAAGTTAATGTTTCATACATTAAAACTATGGGGAGAGAGTAATTGAGCATATATTACGACGTGATACTAATGTTTCTCAAAATTAATTTTGATTTAGGTCGAGTAGTTATACTCTGGAAGCTATGCATTTGTTGAGAGGTTTGAGGGAGAAGTATAGAGAGAATAAGGAGGATCTACATATGATTTTTATTGATTTAGATAAAACATGTGATAAAGTTCCAAGAGAAGTGCTCTAATGAGTTCTAGAAAAGAAATGAGTTAATAATACTTATATTTCAAGTAATTAAAGATATGTATACTGCAATTGTTATTTGTATTCAAACACAAGGTGGTTTGACCAAGTATTTTACTATTTCAGTTGGATTACATCAAGGATCAACTTTAAGCCCTTTTCCTTTTGCTTTAGTCTTGGATGTTCTTACTAGACATTTTTAAGAGGATGTACCATGATGCATGCTTTATGCAGATGATATTCTTCTTGTTGATAAAATTAGAGAGAGTCGAGGGAAAACTTTAATTATGGAGTTGTAAGGCTAAAGGTTTTTGTTTGAGTAGATCTAAAACCGAATACATGGAGTGTAATTTATTTTAGTAATAATGAATCTAGTGGGGGGATTGTGATTTTGGACGATCAAGTTATTAAAAAGAGTACATGTTTTTGACATCTGAGGTCTATTATTCAAAGTAATGGTGAAATAGATGAGGATATTATTATTAGAATGCTCCTTTTTGGTGGCTGTTCAGTTTCTAACTTTTCCTTTTCTTGCTGTTCTGCTTCTGGATGTTCCTTTCCTGGCCATTCCTTTCCTGGCTTTTCAGTTGTGGTGCTGCCGTGCCTTTTTCTCTATTCTGGTTGGCTATTTTGGGTGGCTGCCTTGGGTGTTTTTTGGGCTCCTTTTCTATATTTATAGTGATGTTTTCTGTTGTTGGATGGTTGTTGAAGCTTGATATTTGTCTCTAAAAACCTGAGGGTTTCTTCCTAAGCTTGAGACCTTCCCCTTCCACCTATTTCTTCCTCCAAGGCTTCTAACTCTTTCTTCTCTCCGTAAGTTTGCACCCAATTGTATTTTTCTTCTCTACAGGAGTTTCTGCGGTGTTGTTGTTGGCTGGTTTGTTGGTGTTGGCTGGAGGAGTTTCAACGGTGTTGGATCAGATTGCTATGGTGGACCACTGGTTTGCATGTTCCTAAGAGCTCTCTAATTTCTTATTTTATTGTTATATGTGATGTGACCACTTGTTGATTGTTCTGAGGGGTATTTTGTTTTATATTAGTTTATTTTGCTAAGTTTCCTATAGTTCTCTTGCATCGAGTTTGTTTTATTGGTGGTTGTTCACTTGTTTTTGGATTGAGTCGTGTTCCTTTTTTCTTAAGTGTTCTCCTTTGGTGTTAAGTCTCTTTTGACCCCATCATTTACTCTTAAAGACAAAATGCCAAATGAGTATATGCGTGAAAAGGTTGGAGTAGCTTCAATGGTCGATAAGATTAGAGAGAGTTGTCTTAGATGGTTTGGTCACAAAGTGCCAGTCTTTCGATAACCTGATTAGAAGAGTATATATATTAGATATGAGATATGTTAAGAAAGGTTGAGGTAGACCTGAAAAATTTGGTTTGAAAGTATTAGAAATGACCTTTTTTATTAGATGTAAATGAAAATTGGATTTTTGATGGAGACAATGGAGAAAAAGGATTCATGTAGCCAATCCCATGCAGTGGGATAAAAGCTTGATTTTCTTGTTGTTGATGCTAATAGGTAGTTGGAAATTAGTTTAATGTGTAGGTTAAAACCCCAAAGCCAATATTGGAATTTATATAAAAGACTATAGCATTTATTATTCTAGTTTTATTAATTTGTTCTAAATCAGGTGTTCCTAAATAGATTATCATTAATATTGAAATATTTTGATTATTATTACTGGTCTATTCTGATGTTGCCAAACATTTGTCATTCTTGTATGATTTCAGGTTCTCAGATATGTTTCCATCCTGAACCTTATCATTGAAGGCAACATTACTGCGGCCAAAAAGATGGCAACCAACTTTTGGGATGAGGTAATTTTTGGGGCTGAAGATACAAAGCAGCACTCTGATTCACTTTCAGATTCAAATTATTTGGAAAGAAGGTGGACCTCTATTCAGCAAGCTGAAGCTGCTTCTGTTCTACTGGAAATTATGAAAGAAACGCCTAAGAAGTGCGATTACTGTAAAAAAAGTAATCCCAGGCTTCAGAGCCGTACATTTGGTTGGTTAGAAAAGGTATTCGTTGCTATTTATCTTTTTTTTTTGGGGTCCAAATGCAAGAGCTAGAAGTTGACAAACTTGTATGCTTCTTTCACGTTCCACATATTATTGGTTAATATTTTCCTTATGCTTTATGGCTTATAATTGTTGGAACCAAATGAGATGGTTTAATAAATTTTGACCTGATATGCCATCAACGGCTGATGTTGGTGTGGTTCACCATAATAAACTGTTGACTATTGTTGTTACCTGGACAGGCTTAATGGCGAGTCTAATGCTTCAATCCTCAGCAACAAGCGAGTAAATTTTTTTTTTCCAAAATGACAGACATAATATGTAAAAAAAAAATTTGTGCAGCATTTATAAATTTACTTGCATGTCCTACTATCATAACATCTGCCACTAGTACACTGGTAGGGGTTGCTATGCAACATTGCATGCTTTTCTTGTAGGGGTGAACTGTGGATAATAACTTGATAGGTGTCAAATGGGACAATCTTGCGCAGTATGTTGTCAATGCAGTATTTACCTGTATGCCATATTTCAACGACGTCATAAGATGAGTTGTTGAATCTAATTTCGAATTGAAATTGGATGCTGATGAACTTGAGTTTTTAGTGACCAAACCATTTGAGGCGACTCTCTTTAATCTTATTTGCCACTGGAGTTACTCCAACCTTTTCATGTATATGATTGTTTCACATTCCATATTTAAGAGTAAAATCACTCATCCATCTGAGCATCCTCATCTCTGCAACACTTAACTTAATTGTATTCTTCTCTTTTAAAGGCCAACATTCTGCGCCATAAAGCATTGCAGGTCTCACCACCATTTTATAGAATTTTCCCTTAAGTTTGAGGGGTACTTTTATATCACACAACAGGTCGATGCATTCCTCCACTTAACCATCCAACTTGAATTCTACTAATAACATCCCCATCTATTTCACCACCACTCAGAACAATATACCCGAAATATCTAAAATGTGTATTCTTATTAATGACTTGATCGCCAAAAGTCTTGATCTCCCATTAGATCCATTACTACTAAAATTATACTTAATGTATTCTGTTTTAGATCTACTCAAATGAAAATCTTTAGACTCTAAGGGTGACCTTCATAATTCAAGTTTACCTTCAACTCTCTCTCTAGTCTTATCAACTAGAAGAATATCACCAGTAAAAATCATACACGAGGGTGAATCCTACTGCAAATGACTATTAAGAACATCCTTGATTAAAGAAAAAAAGATAAGGGCTTAAAACTGATCCATGATATATTCCAACTAAAATTGAAAAATACTTGGTCCAACCTCCTTGTGTTTGAACACAAGCAATAGCTCATGCATACATATCCCTAATGACTTGAGTATAAGCATTATTAACCCCTTTCTTTTCTAATTACATCCTCACCTACGCCATAGTAATTCCCACCCTAGAACTTTGGGTGGGTGAAAAAAGAATGCTAAACTTATTTTTGAGGCTCAGCTAAATGGAGCAGAAACATCACAAGCACCACTGACACTATCAAGATAACAAGAATAGTTTGCTAGTTTTGTTATGAACCCTAACTTGATCGAATGTGATAGAACTATTTTTTTTTTTGTCAAAGAAAACAAGATTATAAGTAACATAAAATGTGCAGACGCAACGAATAACATTGAGATGTGAATAGCTGTAGTTATTCATAAAATTAAATTTATGTAAGCCATTCTGTTGATGAATCTGACAGTTGAAAATTGTGTGACAGTTAAGCTTTGGATTCTGCTTCTGTCTGATTAACATTATTAGTTGCTAAGTATTTCAGAACTTTATTGACATCATTTTGACTGGCTTGCAGTTTTTCCCACGTTCTGAGTTTAGCGTCAAGGCTATTGAAGATTATAGCTTAGGAACTGCTTCAGAGGGTGATGGAGAACTATTGGATCCCGCAAAATCTTCAAAGAGAACCAATCGATCTAGAGAGCTACCTCCTGAATTTTTAAAGCAGATAGCGTCATCTAGAAGGGTTGATCTGCCACCAACGGAGGTTGGTTTGCTGTTCTACCCTTTGCTGTATTTCTGTTTGGAATATTCGCCTTTTTTCAATCTAATATGTTGAATGTTCTAGGACTAGTATATTTACTACTAGTTCTTTTTATTATTTGTTGATTTGGTATTGCATTTATATGAATAGGCTGAAGGTATTTTAAAAGATTTATGGAAGAAGGAATCAAAGCTATGCATGCTTATATGTGACATTCAATGCAGACGTTTAAGGAATTTTGAGAGAGAAAAAGGTTATGCAATGTTTTTCCTGAAGGCTCTTCTTGTTCCACCTAACAAGTTTCGTCCTCCTGCTTCTAGCGGGAAAGAGGTGAGCCTAATTAATTTTTCCTTTAGTGGAAAACTCTTTATATTACTGATTAAGATAATATATATATATAAAGATAATATGAATGCAAAAAGAATTTAGGAATGGTCTGTAGTGTACTTTACGGACACATTGTATTCTTTTATTTTTTGGGACCTTCTCTCTCTCTCTTTTTTTTTTTGTTTATTTGACATGACTTGAGCAGTTTTTTATAATCATTATTATTATTGTCGATATTTTTCTTTAGCGCCAATTTTTTATCAGCATGTTTATGTAGTCTTACATTCTTAATTTTGCTTGATCAATTTAGACTCCTCCGTGATTGTTTTACTTCTCTGGTCATCTACTGTCTTGGAACACCAGTTGTTCTATGCTGTTCTTATTTCACGTATATATGAAGCAATATAGTGTGAGAATTCCCTTTTGTTGCTTTGGTTCTATCATTTTTGCAAGCTTAATTCTGCTAAATTTTTCTAAAATTGAGTTAAATTAGGCATTTCTATCCATATTTTAGTGTCTTTTCTTGTAAATATCCCACCCAAATGACTCTTATTAGTAGGCATTGGTACATGCTTTTAAGAAAGCATGCTATTTAGGGCATCGCCATTCAAGTTCCTCCACTTAAGCTTCAAAGATATATCATTAGGATTTTCCTTCAATATCCATTGGGTGATTAACTCATTAAAATGAGTACATATTTTAGATATCTCTGGTCCATTGTTCAAAGAGTTAGATGAGGATATTATTAGTGTAATTCAAGTTAGTTGGTTAATGTGGAGGAATGCATCAGGCTTGTTGTGTGATAAAAAAGTACCTCTTAAACTTAATGAAAAAAATTATAAGATGGTGGTGAGGTCTGTAATACTTTATGGTGTAGAATATTGGCCATTAAAAGTGAAGCAAAGAATTAAACGTTGCAGAGATGAGGATGCTCAAGTGGAAGATTTGCTTTACACTTAGAGACAAAATGCGAAACGAGTATGTTAAGTTGAAAGAGTTAGAGAGAGAAAATGCTTAATTTTATTACACATAATGATGTAGGAAAAAAAATTCAAATGAGTATTTATTTGTGGGCTTTTTTTTTTCTAATGGGCTTGGCCCAATTGTCCTTAGCTGCTTGGTGTTTGAAGTTCACGGCTGATGGTTCATGGGCTAGCCGTGCCTTTCTTTGGTGGCTGTTGGTTGGCTGGCTGCTTGGTTCCTGGGCTGGCTGTGCCTTTCTTTGGTGTTTGTTGGGTTTCATGACAGTTTGGTTTCCTTGGTTGGCTATTGGGATGCTGGGCTGCTTGATTCTTGGGCTTGCCGTGCCTTGTTCTTTGGGTTTTCTCCCTGTTTTGATTGGGTGACACTTGTGGGAGGCTGTTTGGTTTCAATTTTTCCTTATTTAGGGGGCTGTTTGCTGTTTTTTTTGTTGAGAGAGTTATGTGATGATTTTTGGAATGAAACCTTAGGGTTTTCAATAGCTTGCGAGCTATCCTCTTCGACCTCCCTATCTTCTTAAACATCGTTTCGGACTTCTATCTTCTTTCTTCTCTCCATGGTAACCATTCCATTTGTATCTTTCTTCTCTTAAAAAATTTGTAAGTTGCAAGATAGTTGCATCGTGTATTGTCCTAATGTAATATGAAGTGGCTCTAAATGTAGTCAGAAGCTTTATTGTGTGTGTGTTTTGTCATTTGGAAGGAAGACAAGTTTTTTTTGTTTGCAATCTTAATTTTGTTTTTTTTAATTGCATCACATAACTATCCCTTTTTATAGATTTATACAATATATCTTAATAAAGAAACAAATAACTATGGAATCATACATAATTCCCTTAATATAATCCTTCCTAAATAAGCCATTGGAATATGGAAGGAGATCCGCGTGATCTAGGTGAGCCTCCTGTGGATTCCCATGTTGGCCGTGGGATCAAGGGCCAAGGGACATTCAGATTTAACAGCGTGATCCAGGTGAACCTCCTACTAATCCCTGTACTGGTTATGGGATCAAGGACCAAGGGACGGCTGGGATTTAACACCCCTCAAGCTGGGGAATACAGATCTGTCATTCCCAGTCTGGTAATCCATCTAAAAAAGGTAGATGATGTAGAACGACGTGGCAAGCTAGAGTTGCCGCCGAGAGGAAAAGGATGCCAACGCTCTTGATCCACAGAAAGTCAACCGGAGGAGGAGGTGCAGGTGGATGTTCAAGTATTCGCCAATGTCCGGAGGGTAGGTGCTCTTCTATAGATGGTGCCAAGGTGAAGAGGATGCGGTCGACGTATCCTTCGATGGTGTCGTCAACTTCTAGGTTGAGATCGAAGAACGGGGATTGTAGAATGTCCGTCAAACCTTGGGGGTCGTAGACAAATCCGTGGTCAAGCTTTGGGTCGACCATACATGAGGAAAGTCTGGTTTATGCCATATCATAGCTTCTATACAACAATTTGTGGCTCTTAGGATGGCTGGACAACAACAAACTGTAACTAGAACCTTGGGACAGCACGTAGGATGAACTGGGGCAGCAATATCCAAGGTTTTGGAAGGAGAGACAACGCACTACAACACCCAGGATTTTCTGGACAACAAGGAAGCTGTAGGAAAATTCTGTTTACAGCAAAGGGACGGGATTTGGGAGAGTAAACAAGAGGGGGGAGTAGAGGAGATGGGCCGGCTAGGGTAAGGAGATGAGAAGAAATTCTGTTTCAGATTTTAGGTTTGGTAAGTAGAGGGATTAGGGTTGTAAATCTAAAATTTATTTCAAATTTAATGGGTTAGGAATTAGGAGGGAGTTTTGAATTTCAAACCTCTGGATAATTAAAGAAAATAAAGGAGAGGGCGGCTGATTTATGGGATGATATTGGATTTAATTGAGAGCTTTAATGAAAGGGGCATTAATTAAAGAGAAGGGGAGAGCGGGGGCCGGTCATATGGGGAGAGATGAGAAGATTCCACATACAATGTTTGTGGACGCAATAAATGTGATTATGGAATTAAATCTGATTTTAATTTCAGATTTGAGAGATTTGGGGGGTTTCCTAAAAGAGATTTACTAATTAGAAAAATCAATTTAAATCAAATCTAATTAAAAATTTAATTAGATCTAATTTAAGTAACTTTTCTAAAATAGGAATCCTAAATTTGTTACTAAATTAAGGGGGCTAGAATATGAAAGACTTACTTTCCTAAAATAGGAATCCTTAATTAAGAGACAAATTCAAATTCAATTTGATTTGAATTTTGAATTCGAATTCATTGCCAAATTAAGAGGGCTAAAAGAGGAAGGGCTTTGAATGCATGACTAAATTTGTGGAGCCAATGAAGGAAGGGGTGGCTGGTTGGGCTTGGGAGTGGTGGTGGGGTTCTTGGTTGGGGTGACAGAAAGGTTATGAATACTGGCAGTTCAAGGGGAAAGGAGGAAGGGGTTGGTGGTGGTGGAAGGAGGGGAAGTTGGGAGGCTTGGCCGGTGGCTATGGAGGGTTTGGCTGGCGATTAAGGGAGATTCAGAGATGGAGAAAGGAAGTGTAGGGAAAGAAAGATAAAACCATGAGCCCGGACACATCCTGCTTAATGTAGGCAAGGGGGGGGGTCAAATCAAGGGCGGTCCTTTTGTTCTTTGCGTTGCTTGCTATCTCTTGGTTTGGGCCTTGGCTGCTCTCGGTTTGGGCTTTGGCTGTTCTGGTTTTGAGCTAAAAAATTGGGATCTTCTTGGTTCTAGCTCATAAATGTTTGAGCTGATGTTTCAGCTCATAATGTGAAGTGGGCATTGGCCTTTTTCTCTTCCTTTGTGCCTCCTCGGTTTCTCCTTGTGCTGTCCTGTGAACTGACTGCTGGGTCTTGTGTGTGCTCTTCGGTTTCTCTCCCTGGCTGCTTTCCCGTGGCCTCTCCTTCCGTTTTCTGTGTTGGCTCTTCGGGTCCCTCCCTGGCTGTGTTTCTCGTGGCTTTCCTTCCTGTTTCATGTGCAGATTTTATGAAGCTGTTTTGTGGTTTCTATTGCCCTTCGTCTTCCCCTTAGATGATTAGTTTGATTGGGGATTTTAGGTGGCTGTTTGTTTGCCCTTTTCTTCTATATATAGGAGATGTTTTGTATGTTTAAAAGAGTGTAGTGTGCTGATTTTTGGAGTAAAAAAACTTGAGGGTTTTTTCTTCTTTGGGAATAGCTTGCGAGCTATGTTCCCCATCTCTTCTCTTCTCTATAGCTTGCGAGCTATGTTTTGTCTCGTCTTCTAATCTCTTTCTTCTCACTGCAAGTGACCACCCCACATGTATCTTTCTTCTCAACGGATGAAATGCAATTTTAGCAGTTTTATGTTAATGTTTGTGTTGTTTGTAAGCGTCAAAGTTTGTAAGTCCTTTTATATTATAAAGTGAAGTTGTTTTTTGATTTATTTGTTGTATTTTGTCTAGTTTTTGAGAATTTGTGTCATTTCTATTTCCTAGTAAGGTTTAGTCTTTTGCTTGCAAAAAATTAGGGGTTTTCCTAATTTTTTGCTTGCATCACTGCGGCTGATGGTATTACGTTGCCCTCACCTAGGGACTTCAAACCACGAGCTCAGACACATCCTGCGGCTGGTAGATACTACTCTTCCCTCACATAGGGATCTCACCAAAGTTCTTCCCCAAGAATAAGAGTGCAGAAAGTTTTTTTATTAATAATCCATCATACCAATAAAATAGTAAGGGCTTCTATATATTAGGCCTCAAAATGAAAGAAACTCAAAAAGTCAAACATGCCCCCAGGACTTACGAAGGACAACTCCCTCAGAAGAGGGTAACAACAGAAAGTGTATAACTAAAACAAAAAAAATACAATTAAGATAAAGTGGAATGAGCTCGGCCGTTGATCTTCGTCTTTTCCTCAGATAAGCGTTCACCGTTGGATGTCTGCATCAATATAGTTATGCAGTCCCTTGTTAAAAACATCTACAAGATCAATTTCATCCTTTTCTTGCACCCCATGTATCTAGGTTTCACCTTCAATCAACTCCCACTGCTCTTTATTTCGGAGCATCACCTCTACAT